TGATGATACTATTCAAGCTATCAATGTGTGACATGATTCTTCCAAATGCATCAACAAGGTCATTGGAAAGATTTGCTAAGCAGATCTAGACACAAACAACTAAGGAGACTCATAATATTTTAGGTATTCTGGGCGCAGTTTCTGTATGAATTATTCACCCATTCAAATAACGATATTAATCCGTAAAATTATTTCAAGATACATATATATTCATCTTAACCATTGACGAAGAGACTTACAGCTAGGGGAAAACACAAATAATAATATGCATGCATTTATCATAACTACTGAATACGATATACAGTGTGACCCATTTTTAATGGAAACATCCTCTTAAAATTTGAAGTTGTAAACCGATTTTAATATTAGATTGAGGTGAGCACTTCTGTCCAGCCTCGGGATTGGTTTTTGTTTTTGTTGTTTCTGTTATTTCATTCATGTGTGTTCCCACGAGTAGCAAGGGAAGAATTGGTCACCTCTGGCAGAGCACCGCATTACCAGAGGTAGGTTGATCACAATAAGGTTTCGCCCTGTTCCCCAAGGGGATCGCTCGTGACAGCATATCACCCTGCGGTCATTCAGCTGTCGACACGATTCCTCACACCCCAGCTTGGGTAGGCTGGTCCACGATGGCATGTTTTGCAAAGGCTTTTGGAAGGTTTTTGTTCCCCTCACCCTACTTATTTCTGCCACTGACCAGGAGTCCACCGACCCCGTCTGTAAGGCCACATTGGCTTCCCGGACAGAGCCTCCAGTCCCCAGGCTGTTTCCTTATCCACCACCTGGTGATGCGCACGATAGGTAGCTCAACCCACGGGAACACGAAGCTTACTTTAAACAACAATGTTAAGTAAACTATAACTGTGTGATGTACTCCGCTAATAACCCCTCTGTGGTTGATGCGTTTTTCTTGAATAAAAAAATCTATTTCGACTGAAATTCGTCAAGAATATGTCTCTCAGTGTATCTTTTTTTCAAAAAAAAGTTTGCACAGCAAAATAGTTTTTGTGAGATATTGCGAATGGTGTTACCTATCGAGCACGATATATTTTGTATCGTTAAATTTGACGTAATGATGGAATAATTTCCAAAAAATTCCTTACGAGAGGTTTCTATAAAAATATCAGCGAAGTTTGTTGTTTATGCATGTAGAAAGCTGTGAGTGAAGTTTCAAAGTGAATAATATTACGTCGGAACGTAATTGTGAATCATGCTTTTGCGGTCGATTTTGCTGGTGATTATCTGGCGTAGGAATAAATTCGTGATCAATAAAACGTTTCACTTTAAACTTGTTCTTCATGCTGACTGTACAGAATAGCTGCTGAAATTCAATGTATCGAAAAGAAATTTCACGTGTATTTGAAGTCATTTATAACCGCATTTGTTCCTACTACATTTGACTAACTTTCTTCGAGATCAATTGCCCTAACACCAAACTGATATTTTTGCACCTAGAAAATGCAAGTTTAGGGAAGCACTTCGTAAATCTTCGACTTTTCAGAAAGAGGAGAGTAATAACGAGTTTATAGTAATCCCATATGAACCCCAATACACGAGAGGGCTTCAACAGATATTCGATGAAGTAAATATGAAAATTGCATATAAAACTTCTTATAAATTGCAACAGCTTCTTGGTAATCCAAAAGATAGACTAGAAAACACAGAAAGGTCGGGGATTTACAAAATCAGTTGTCAAGATTGCAACAGCAAATACATCGGCCAGAGCCGACGAGCGATTAAAATCCGCTTCAAGGAACATTGTGCACACGTGAAATACGGAAGGATAGAAAAATCCAGTGTCGTCCAACATGCTCTAGACAAGGAGCACAGAATTGGTGAAAACAATCTGAAACTGATTAAGCATGTGCATGACACCATGCTACTCGATGCATGTGAGAGTCTATAAATAGCAAAATGTAAGAACAGAATGAATGACGATAAGGGACCCATCCCGTTCAGCCCGAGAAATTCCATATTGGACTTCAGGTATACAACCTCAGGTAACAAATTTTAGTATATAAGGATCAACCAGACTAGACTAGGTAACAATTTTCTTCTCCTGAGGATGCTAACTTTGTTGGCGAAACGCACGTCGAGTGCAAAAATATCAGTTTGGTGTTAGGGCAATTGATCTCGAAAAAAGGTATTCAACTTTCACACCAAAGGTTCCAATCTCATCGTTATCCTACTACATTTATTCATTTTCGGTAAACCAAAATCCACCATATGATATTTTGTACAAAAGGTACCTACATTTCAAAGAAGACATCAAAGTCTGCTTCAATTTCCAAATTGTGGATGTTTTCGTGATTTTCAAGTCATGTTTTCAGCCGCGCGCGAGCTCATGACCCACTCCCCTGCCTCGCCCGGCTTCACAGCGCTTCAAGAAGATTTACGCTAATTTACACCCCACTAGTTTTCGGTGAATTTTTGTCCTTAATGTTCATAAATGAAGGGGAGGCAAGTTTGAGGTGAAATAGTATTCAAAAGTGTATTTTTGCAAGCTATGGGAATATGTTGGTTGCAATTTGATAACTTCAAAATCAACAATGTTATATGCAAATCAATAATTATGCTTCGAAAGTATCATATTTTTCGGCTACCTCTCTATACCTGTCCAACAATATAAGTATTGGTCCGAACAGCAAACTGATCAGTGGGAACTCAGGGCTGAACACAGCAAGCATAGAGCTAGTGACGAGATTTGGAGGCAAGGGAGAAAACGACCTCGTCCTCGAGTGATGTGAGTGATTCTTGAAAATGGAAAATCGTGTTTTCAGCATCATGAAGTACCCCACTAGTTTTTGGTGAATGTTTGTCCTTAATGTTCATAAATGAAGGGGAGGCAAGTTTGAGGTGAAATAGTATTCAAAAGTGTATTTTTGCAAGCTATGGGAATATGTTTGTTGCAATTTGATAACTTCAAAATTAACAATGTCATATGCAAATCAATAATTATGCTTCGAAAGTATCATATTTTTCGGCTACCTCTCTATACCTGTCCAACAATATAAGTATTGGCCCGAACAGCAAACTGATCTGTGCGAACTCAAAGCTGAACACAGCAAGCATAGAGCTAGTGACGAGATTTGGAGGCAAGGGAGAAAACGACCTCGTCCTCGAGTGATGTGAGTGATTCTTGAAAATGGCTCCAAAACAGGAGCCGAAACGTCGAAAAGATGAAAATTACAGACGCGGTTCAATCCGGACAACAGTATATCAAATTACTGACAGCGGTAACCTATCCAGCGGTAACCTATCTGAACACACACTCTAAAAAAAAAGGGGGGGCAAACCGCGGACACGTGTTTCTGGCTATTGGCCTCATCAGCGCGGTGCAGTCAAGTGTAAAGATGGGCAACACTTGTCAACAACAGGAGCCTACCGCACATTTGTGGTTCCAGTTAGAATACCTAGAATTCCCAGGCTACATCTAACATGACCACGAAGGCAGCTATAGCTACCTGCGTAACATCCGGGTCCAGGATATGAATACAGATAGCGATTTTATCGAGTGTGTATGATACAAATCAAGAATGGTCTTCTAACTGGAACCACAAATGTGCGGTTGGCTCCTGTTGTTGACTCCGTGCGTTTGTGTTGTTTCCTGATTTCGGCAAACAAGTGTCGCCCATCTTCACACTTGGCTACACCGCGCTGATGAGGCCAATAGCCAGAAACACGTGTCCGCGGTTTGCCCCCCTTTTTTTTTAGAGTGTTGTGACTACGAATTATTCCATTCTTGATTTGTATCATACACACTCGATAAAATCTCTATCTGTATTTATGCAACTAATTTTCCTTTATTTTCAGTATTTCAATATAAAATTTTACAAAAAGGATTTGAAGCTCTATATCTTCTATCAATTATCTGCGAGCGCTTTCGACAGTTGGTAGTACTGTCATCTTCTAGGCTCTCTTCAAACTGAACTTGTCATCCTGTTGTCTGCCTCTTGATACGGTCAGAGCGTCTTAACTCAGGTACTACAGGTACTTTAGGTAAATTTACCTGTATTTGTACTGTCATTTGGAAAATGTTCGTTAAGCCATTGCCTCACAGTTCTGGCACAATGAACTGAACAATGAACTGGACAATTGAATTTGATCGTTCATTGATTGGCAGCTCGTGAATAGCATCCCAAAACTCTGTGTTTAAAAATTCTAGAAACCTCTGCGCATTAATGTTTTCCTAAAAAAAGAAAGGACCAATAATTCGTTCGTTCAATATCCCACACCAGAAATCATACAATAAACTGTAATAATGAGTTTTTTTTATTATTAATAGTATTTCATCAATTCAACAATTTTATACAAGGCATTATTCACGGCTAACATTCACGGCTGACCTTGCATTACAAGGGGAATGGCTGAGCGCTGCGGGTTCTGCGCCATCTGTCTCAAAAATGGTCGGATGTATGATAAAAAATTCAAACAGAATCGCAGATCTTATGCTCTTTAATTTTTATAATGAATGTTAACATCATTGAAGCTATAGAAACCAAGATGATGGCCAAAAACTGATTTTTGTAATTCTGACCTTGAATAACTTTCAGCGCAGACACAACAAGATTTTATGAAACTATCGGTAAAACTTATGAAACACCAAAATGATGGTTTGTACAAGTTGACAGCTCACTATCTCTCATTCCAAGAATGAACCCCTAATATGACTCGATTAATAGTTAAAATATCGTGAAGAGAGACATGAAATTTACAGCTTGAAAAATCATGAAGACACTGATAGTGAATGTGGACTCGATAAGGGGAAATCTGTTGAGGATTCAAACAGAGTTCTTTGGCTCAAATTTCTTTGCGTCAAGAATCGCAAATTTTCTTCAACAAATCGCGTTCAATGCCTGAATATAACCTCCTGATGTTTTGTACAATTGAAATTCAGTGATACATAAAACAGTGTGGTAACGCCGTAATAACAAAGGAACTTTAAAATGATAATGAATATTATCAAACTGAATTACAGCAACTGCGGTCGTTGTAAACTGTTATCAGTTTGTTTCATGTTGGCAATGTGAAAGTGTCGTTATTTTCAACAAGTTTTGATGCATGTAGTATGCCGCCACCGGGTAAATAACATAATTTTTGCTGATTCCGATAGAAAATGTATGGATATTGGGTGCACATATTTCTCACAATCGATATTCGCGGTTTCATGTTCATTAGTAATATTGTGTTAAAGAAATTATGGTGAAATTGAAGAAGGTGACGTGTTGATACGTTATCAGGTTCAACAGAATAAATATGAGTTGAATATGGAAATGGGTTTTACACTCCTCCTCTAAAAAAGGTCAAAAATAATAATTTCTTCATTTATTCAATAGGTGACAACATACTGGTGGCTAACCTAATCACATGTTTTCCATACTCACAAAAGATCTGCAGAAAAATATGAGTGCTCATCAGCAACCCCAACTTGCGATAACATAAACTAGAAAATAAGTCGACATCATTAGTTATTTTACTTTTTCACGAGTTAGTAATAGTGCAAAGTTAAATTCAAAATATTTTTCTGAAAGCTATATGATATAACATGTTACAAGTCACACGTTAAAGGGTAAGACCTCGCTAATCCTTAGCTTGCACAAGTTTCGCATTCTGAGGGTTGTCGTTCGTAGAGGTGCGACAGCTGGTTAACGAAAAAACAGATTTTAAAAGAAACGATAACGAAAAGATGTTTATAACTACGGAACTGTTTTGAAAAATAATATTCACCCATCTGAAAATTCTATACAAACCTTAAATTCATAGCTACGAATAGGACAAAAAAGTTCGCAGATGATATTAAATGAGCTTCATCAAAAGGAAGAGAGAGAAGCTGAGAATGATACACTGCATTTCTTCAATGTCCCCCCTAAAATTGAAAATTGAGACAATGAAATTGATGCATGAATACTTTATTTTGAAGTGGAATCGACAGATGAAACTTTCAGAATGGCTACTGGGCACCATCTGGGAAAAAATCAAAGAGAGAGAGAGAGGGGTCTTGTGACACATCTCCCGAAAAATGCTTCACAACCCTAGAATAAGATGTCAATATCCTCAACTTCTAGAAAATGACGGAAATTTCAATAATTGTCTGAATACATTAACATTTAATTACATAATATTAGGTAATGAGCTTGAGGTCCGTTCAGAAGATGCTCAAAATGGTTGCCTTGAACTTCTTGACATATGAACACCCTATCTGATATTTCACACCGAACATTTTCGAATACAGTAACGTCAATATCTCTACGAATATTTAATATTCTCTGCCGTATATCCAATATTGAAGCAGATTCAGTTTCGTACACTTTCTGCTTCAAAAAGCTCCATGAAAAAAGTCCAAAGGTGTCCAATCTGGCGAGCAGGCTGGCCATTCTGTAGGACCTTGACAACCAATCCAACGACCGGGAAAAGCAGTTTCCAAAAAGTATATTTATTGTCTGGAGAAATGTGGTGATGTGTTGCACCATCTTGTTGGAATACAATATCCATATCGAATTCATTAGGATTCGCTTCGAAGATTTCGGTGATGAGAGGGTTAACAGTAGTTTCCAGCATATTCAAATATAATTCCCCTTTTGATTTCCGATCAATAAATAGAGATTCTTCAATATGGTTTCCCAATATTCCTACCCAAATGGTTTTTTTTTTGGATATTGGATGTGTTTCCCGGAAAACATGAGGGTTGGTATCACTCCAATAACGGCAATTTTGTTTGTGAACATTGTCGTATAAAAAATGTACATTTGTCACTTGAACAAATATTCTGGATTTCGCAGAATTCTGTTCTTCGATTAGGAAATCACTCCTAAAAATAAAACCCCTTCAATTCAAATGAGTTATATCTTTCGAACTTTTTACGTTATGTGTTACTAGTACACACCAATTACTATGTTTAGTAGAAAATATACTTCTTCATGCACATGTACGTTTCTGTCAAAGATTTCTGAGCATGAATCAAAGTATTTTCATTCTCGGAAAATTAATCCAAACCATGAATTCAACCAGTTTTTCATCATGATGCTTGACGATTGAACCACAAGACACAGCAATAAGCAATGAAAAAAATGATAATTGTGTTTAAAAATATATATTTTTTTACTGTTGATGAATTCTCCTAAAATTGATGACATGAGAATAAAATTGTGCAAAAGTCATTCTTCGAGTTTTTCGCCGTGGTCAGAAGGTTATCAAGCCAGACATTTCTTCTACTACTGCGGTATTAACAGTCGCAGTGCCCAAGTTGGTGCATGTTTGTTAACTTCAAGAACAGGTAGCAGGATTTTATCAATGTTCGCTGCCTTCTTTTTTCAATGAAAAAAGACTGAAAAAGAATGAATTTATCCTTGTGTTTCTGAATTACTCTTGACTCTTCAAATACTCGTGCACAGTAAATTTAAGATTGATCGAGTATCATTGCCGCAGTTACAGTTGAAATATTTGGAGATTTCAACCAAAGAAAACAAATTGAAATAGTGATGCTCCTTGGAAAGTATAAAATATTTTCTTTTCCAACTGTTACGTAGATACTAGCCCAAGTTATGAATATAAAACGTAATATTGTTTAGGTGAAAACCCGTCATATACGGACTAACGGATTTATTTGGTGTATTGTGCGAAACTTTTTTAACGCAGTTTCTTCCTAAAACCTGAATCTTTCCCCCAAACTGCAAATGAACAAACCTCATATTTGAAGTTGAGTTGAATAATTGAGATTCATCTTTCTGATTCAGATGACTGTAACAGAAATACACTTCCTCTGGCACTCCCTATGAACATCGTTGAATGTTCTTTGAATGAGATTACAGGCTACATTTTCTAGCTAGCCAGGATAAACAGACTATTCTTCAGTAGTAGGTACCATAGTATCTCGCTCTGACATCAGCTTCACGTGACCCTGAACCTATTAGCTTTAACTTAAAGAGCCTTGCATGGTTCTAACCAGTTATGGCCTATTCTACGCCTCCCACAGGCAGGGCTGCTTCAATACAGCTCTATAAAGTGTCCTTCATTGTTGAGAGATTGAATGACTTTCTCACTGCTGATTGTTCGGTGGAATTGCATATAAAGCGACCCTTCTGATGTGTCTGTATAGTATCCTCCCAAGAAGTTTCTGTGAAAAATATGTTGATTGGTCGTATCGAATCGTGGTGTGATTTAGTACTTTACGTTTCAGGTATATACACCACCTCTCCTGCTAACCAATTCTACATCTAGCTCTATACAGTTTTATGAGAACGGATAAAAGTATTTTCAGTCGAAAAATATAATACCTCTTGCCTTAAACTTGCAATAAACGGTATTTTGACCGAAACCAGTGCGTAGCATGCGTGACAAATCGTGTTGTGCAGATCTATCATAGATTCTATCAGATGAATAACGAATTGATCTCAGCTGTTCTCAGTGCTTGATGGAAAGAGGCTCTTCTTTCACATTTCCAATTGAGTGATAGATATCAACGTTTTGGAATTCATAGTGAGAATTTTCATAGTGGCAGTAAGCATATTAATTCCTTCTAGCGTTCATTAATAAAGCAAAATAGTACCATCAGTGATAATGTGGGGCTGTTCCGTGATTGACCTTCTTACCCTAGCTACCTGTGGGACTTTTATGGCAGAGTAAACTTAAAAATTCTTCCTGACGCTGAGTCTATAGAGAAGATGGAACTCTCTGTAAATTCAGTTCAGGAGCGAGAACTTCTCATCTTCCCTACTCCTAATCCAATAACTGAACCTGAAAAAAGGTTTGGTAGTGCGACCAGAAAACGATTGAATCATCTCTTCAACAGCGGGGTACCTTATAAATCTGCCTTGCATCAAATTCTTGAGCGGCGTACGCAGAATCTGTCTCAGGTGGAGGAACAAACCCCACATGAGCAGGTAAGCGAACGTTTGCGCTCAAAACCAGAGGCAAAAAAGCCTTGCACGGTTGAATCTGAGGCATCGTCATGTGTAGCTGACGTGCAAAAACCCTCATATGGGAAGGTTGTCGCGAGGATCGAAGTGGAACTATCCGACTACCTTATTGATGATGAAACGGCAGAGCATATACTTTGTGGCTGCCCCGCTGGGGACCGAATCAGATTTTTAGACTTCAGCAGAGCCGTCTAACGTGTCTATTTCCTTTAAGTCTCCGGTAGATGATGCAACCCCAAGGGCTTATTGCGATTAGCCACCATCTTCTTCATAACATCCATTTCAACGATCTTGTTTTCTGTACTGGTCTGTACAGGTCTCTTTTTGGACGTATGTCATATTCTCCTGTGTTGTCCACGAATTGTTTGCCGCTTGCAATCCAAAGCCACATATTCGCATAGAATATAGCATGCTATCTCTGCCCGTTTGTTGCATTGTCTTCATCAGAAGGTATCTGTTGTACAACCCCATTTTGTCCAGATGTCCTCATGATGCAGAGTGCTTGGTTCTGGTTCTGTAATGGTTTTGAGCCAATACCTGCTCCGCTGAAGTAGTTCTTCGATCGAAAGGAAGAGTATGATTGAACTTTTGAACGATATGGGTCACGCTTCATATAGCTTGTGTTATCTACTGAAATTAAAAAACAGTTTTTGGAGAAATATGGAAGAGCTCGACAAATTTTGCTCAAAATATATAGAATGATATTGAAATATGTATAACAGTTTTCATGAAACCATTCCAAAATATATCAGAATCATTTGATTCATTTGATAATGATTTAATCATATATAAATATTCTATGAGCCATTTGGTATCTAGGCCAACAGAGCAATCGTAGGTGTATACACGATTACGATAACAGAGTGGAGGGAGCGATACGAGTTCTGAATTTATAAACGAAGGAAATTCAATTTGTGAATGCAAAATCGCCATTTTATTTGTTGATTATATCAACAGGTTGTCGTTTCCTACCAACATAAAATGACCTAATCAGAAGTTTACGATGGCTATATAATGTAAGTTTAGTTCGCATAAAAAATCCATATATCAGTTATTGAATGCATTCATATATTGATGTTTTATTTCAAATGATGAGATGACTCCTTCGAGAATCAGACTAGCTGCATAAGTTTTTAGTCTCGGCGTTTACATAATCTATCGATACT